AACAAACTAGGAATAGGAGGAAATTACTCAACATAATAAAAGCCATATGTGAAAAGCCCACAGCAAACGTTACATTCAATGGTAAAAGATTGAAAGCTTTTCCCCTAAGATAGGAACAAGGCAAGGAGGCCTGCTTTTGCCACTTCTCTTGAACATGGTACTGGAAGCCCTAGCCAGAGCAGTTAATCAAGTAAAAGAAATAAAAGGCATCCAAATTAGAAGGGAAGAAGTAAAATTATGTGTTTGCAGATGATATGATCTTACATGTATAAAACCATAAAAATTCCACAGCAGAACTTTTAGAACTAATAAATGAATTCAGTAAAATAGCAAGATACAAAATGCACAAAAATCAGTTGTATTTCTGTATACTAAGAGTGAACAGTTTTAAAAGTAAATTAACATAACAGTCCCTCTTACAGTAGCATCAAAAAGAATAAAATACTTAGGAATTAACTTAGCCAAAGAGGTGAAAGACTTGTACAATGAAAACTACAAAACATTGCTGAAAGAAGTTAAAGACATAAATATGTGGAAAGACATCCCATGTCCATGGATTGCAATACTTAACATTGTTAAGATGTCAGTAGCACCCAATGTGATCTACAGATTCAGTGCAATCCCTATCAAAATCCCAAAGATGTTTTTTGCAGAAATAAAAAAATCATCCTGAAATACATATGGCATCTCAAGGGACCCCCTAAGTGACAAAACAATCTTGAAAAAGAACAAAGTTGGAGGACTTACACTTCCTCGTTTCAAAACTTACTAAAAGCTGTAGACAGAAAATCAGTGTGCTACTGGCATGAAGACAGTTAGAAAGACCAATGAAGTCCAATAGAGAGCCCAGTAGTAAAACCTCACATATATGGTCAAATGATTTTCAACAAGTGTGCCAAGACCATTTAGTGGGGAAAAGACAAGTCTTTTTGACAAATATGCTGGGAAAACTGAATATCCGCAGTCAAAAGAATGAGGTTGGACCCTTACCTAACAAACATATACAAAAATTAAGTCAAAATGGATCAAAAATCTAAATGTAAAAGCTAAAACTATAAAACTCCTAGAAGAAAACATAGGGTAAAACAAAAACTTCACAGCATTAGATTCGGCAGTGATTTCTTGTGTATGACCCCAAAGCCACAGGCTACAAAAAAATACAGTAGATAAATTGCACTTCATGAAAATTAAAAAATTTTGTGAATCCAAAGACACAGTAAAAAGAGTAAACAGGGTGAAAAGGCAACCCACAGAATGGGAGAAAATATTTGCAAATCATGTATCTGACAAGGGATTAATATCCAGAATATATATAGAACTCCTAAAACTTAACAGCTTAAAAACAGCCCTGTTCAAAAGTGGGCAAAGGACTTGAATAGACTTCCAAATCTATAGAATATTTCTCCAAAGAAGATACATAAATGGCCAGTGAGCATATGAAAAGATGCTCAACATCACAGATCATTAGGGAAATGCAAATCAAAACCACAATGAGGGCCGGCCCCACGGCTTAGCGGTTAAGTGCGCGCGCTGCGCTGCTGGCGGCCCGGGTTCAGATCCTGGGCATGCACCAACGCACTGCTTCTCCGGCCATGCTGTGGCCGCGTCCCACATACAGCAACTAGAAGGATGTGCAGCTATGACATACAACTATCTACTGGGGCTTTGGGAGAAAAATAAATAAATAAATAAAATTAAAAAAAAAAAAAAACCACAATGAGATACCACCTCACACCCATTAGGATGGCTGCTATCAAAACAAAACAAAACAGAAAATAAAAGTATTGGCAAAGATTTGGAGAAATTGGAACCATTGGTCACTGTTGGTGGGAATTTAAAATGGTGCAACAGCTGTGGAAAACAATCTGTCTTTCCTCAAAAGATTAAAAATAGAATTACTATATGATCTAACATTCCTACTTTTGAGTATTGCTATGGACTGAATGTTTGTGTTCCTCCCCAAATTCGTATGTTGAAGCACTAATCCCCAGTGTGACAGTATTTGGAGGGGGGAGCCTTTAGGAGGTAATTAGGCCGTGAATGTGGAGCCCTCGTGAATGGGATTAGTGCCCCTATCAGAAGAGACACGAGAAAGATAATCTCTGTCCACTGTGTTAGGATAGAAGAAGAAGGCATCCATCTGCAAACCAGGAAAACGGCTCTCATTGGGAACTGAATTGGCCAGCACCTTGATCTTGGACTTCCCAGCCTTCAGAACTGTTTGAAATAAATTTCTGTGGTTTAAGCCACCTATCTATGATATTTTTGTTATAGCAGCCTGAACTGACTAATACAGATATTGGTACCATGAAGTAGGGTGCTGCTGTAACAAATACCTGAAAATGTGGAAGCAGCTTTGGAACCTGGGTAATTGGGTAGAGGCTTAGAAGAGTTTTGAGTTGCAAGCTAGAAGAAGCCTGCTTTGCCAGGAATGGACCTTTAAAAGTGATTCAGGTGAGGGCTTAGGGGAAAAAAAAAAAAGGAGGGCTAGAGAGAAAGCCTCCATCTTAGAGAACAGGTAATAACCATGTACATAATGTTGGTAGAAATGTGATGGTAAAGGCCATTCTGATGAGGTCTCAGACGAAAATGAGGAACATGTTACTGGACAGTGGAGAAAAGGCCATCCTTGTTATAAAGTGGCTAAGAACTTGGCTGAACTGTGTTGAGGGTCTAGTGTGTTGTGGAAATTAGAACTTGCAAGCAATGAAATTGTGTATTTAGTTGAGATTTCTAAGTAAAATGTTGAAGGAGTGACTTGATTCTTCCTGACTGCTTGTAGTAAAATTCAAGGAGAGAGTAATGAATTGAAGGAATTATTAAACAAAAAGGAACCAGAACTTAAAGATTTGGAATAGTCTCAGTCTATCAATGTTGCAAAAAATGAGAAAACATGTTCGAAAGAAGACACTTAAGAGTATGGCTGACTGACCATTTGATAAGGAGGTTAGTATAGGTGTGAACCGTGGACTTTATCAGCCACCCCAGCAAGATCACTGCCAGTTCGAACTGAAGGAGATGGATACAGAATGAAGGAAGGCTGTTGGACTTAACTAGATTCTACAGGACAGGATGATAAAACCACTTGGCTTCGACTTGTGCTCTTCATCAAGGAAGGGAAAGAATATCCCCAAAGCTGATTCAGAGATTATCAGGGCCACCATCTTAGTTCTCATATCCCAGAGTGTCCCCAACTGAAGCCATAGGGGAAGGACCACTGGCAGAGCCCTGGGGGTGTGACTCCCTGCCAGGAGAGCCTCAGCTTGGGTGGGGTCCCCACAGAAAGCCGCAGTGTGGTGGTGCCCCACCAAGCCCTGCAGGTGACGTTACCACCCTCGTGGGCTAGAAGTCAGAGCATTGAGCCACAGAGGATTTTTCTTGCGTCTTAAGATCTCATGGAGTTTGGACATGCTTGGAACCTGTCACCCCTTCCTTCTTTCCTGTTTCTCCCTTTGGAATGGGAATGTCTTTCCTGTACCTGTCACAGGGTCGTCGCTGGAGAGGAATTTTGCCTCAGGGTGAATCATATGTTGAGTCTCACCGATATCTGATTTAGGTGATATTGAGATGAGACTTTGAACTTTAGACATTAGAGTTGCTGCTGGAAGGAGTTAAGACTTTTGAGGCTATTGGGATGTAATGAATGCATTTGGAATGTGAGAAGGACGTAAATTTTAGGGGGGGCAGAGGCAGAGTGCTATGGACTGAATGTTTATGTGCCCCTAAATTTCATATGTTGAGGGTATAGCCCTCATGAATGGGATTAGTGCTCTTATAAGAAACACAAGAGGTGATCTCTTTCTTGGCCATGTGGGGATATAGCAAGAAGCCATCTGCAAACCACGGGGTTCTCACCAGGGACTAAATTGATTGTTGGCATCTTGATCTCGGACTTGCCACCCTTCAGAACTATGAGAAATAAATTTGTGTTGTTTAAGCCAATCAGTCTATGGTGATATAGGTATATACACAAAAGATTTGAAAGCAGGATCTCGAAGAGATATTTATATACTCATGTTCATAGCAGCATTAGTCACAATAAGTAAAGGTTGAAAGCAACCCAAGTGTCCATTGATGGATGAGTGGATAAACAAAATTTGGTATATACACACAATGAAATATTATTCAGCCTTAAAAAGGAAGGAAATTCTGATAAGATGCTACAATGTGGATGAACCTTGAGGACATTATGCTAAGTGAAATACGTCAGTCACAGAAGGACAAATACTGCATGATTCCGCTTATATAAGGTACCTAAAATAGTCAAATTCATAAAGACAGAAAGTAGGATGGTGGTTACCAGGGGCTAGCGGGAGGAGGGAATGCGGAGTTATTGTTTAATGGGTTTAAGTTTCAGTTTTGGAAGTTGTAGAGAGTTCTGGAGATGGATGGTGGTGATGGTTCACAACAATATGAATGTACATAATACCACTGAACTGTGTACTTAAAAATAGTTAAGATGGTAAATTTTTTATATCATGTGTATTTTACCACAATAAAGAAAAATCTCTACTGTCCATAAAGCACATAATATAGACATATCTTACCTGTAGTTAATGCTGTTATGATAACTTCTAACGTGTTCAGGTTTTCCTTAAGTTGCGGGTTTTTCTAAATCATTAATGACTATACAGAAATTGTACTTCCATAATTGTGGGAATACTGCTTATTGATTAGTAGAGCAGGCTCTGGAATGCATTTACAGTATTTTAAAAATTCCTTAGTACCGATACCAACAAACATTAGAATGGGCTCACAAAAGCAGTTTTGAAATTTTGTCTAGTGTAATAGGATTTACTTTTCTTTTTACTCTTAAATTACTTTATGTTGTATCTGGACATAATGAATACTTGCAACAGTAATTATTTTATTTTTGTTTATATCCTCCTGTTTTTCTATTTAATAGACACATTTAGATCACAATAAGAACAGATCTGAGTGCCAGTAAATCTTCTGGTTTACCCTTAATTTTTTGGTGTTCTGTTATGTTCTAAATTTAGATATCCAAAGAGAAGAAGAAAAAGTCAAACGGTCTGTGAAAGATGCTGCCAAGAAGGGAGAGAAGGATGTCTGTGTGGTTCTGGCCAAGGAGATGATCAGGTCGAGGAAGGCTGTGAGCAAGCTCTATGCTTCCAAAGCTCACATGAACTCTGTGCTCATGGGGATGAAGAACCAGCTGGGTAAGAGCCCTTACCTTACAGCCGCCTCGTTAGTGCTGATGCTCTTGCTGTTGTCATCAATGCTGGTTTCCTTGAATAGGAAGAACAGTGTCAGCTCTGGTTTTTATTCTTTTTTTGTGTGTGTGAGGAGATCAGCCCTGTGCTAACATCTGCCAATCCTCCTCTTTTTTTGCTGAGGAAGACTGGCCCTGGGCTAACATCTGTGCCCATCTTCCTCCACTTTATATGGGATGCTGCCACAGCATGGCTTGACAAGCGGTGCGTCAGTGCGCACCTGGGATCCGAACCGGCGAACCCCGGGCAACCGCAGCGGAGCGCGCGCACTTAACCGCTTGCATCACCGGGCCAGCCCCTGGTTTTTATTCTTTATATTGTCTTAGTTGGGGTGTTATACAAATGCAAAATATAATTATTACTATTGTTATTATTTTATTATTATTCATTTTCTTTTGCCAGTGTTGTTGAAGTAATGGCAAAATCTACATATAAATCTGCTTTGTTTAGAATTTAGAATGTATTTCCTAATGTGAACAGTGTTATAAAGTGGCCTAGGAATTGAGTCATAGGACTAAAAAGTGGGCCTGTGCGTTAGAGGAGGGTGAAGAAGCGCTTCCTCTGTCCTAGGCCCAAAGCCACCCCAGACAGAATTTTAAAACAGGCTGAGTTTGTCTTTGGCTTTCGCCCACCTCCTTTTCTGCCTCATCTCTAGCTCTATATGCTTCCTTACTTCTTAGGACTCTGCAGACCACGTAACGGGTATTCAGCATACATACGAACTATCAACTTAATTTTTAAAACCTTCTTATATTTAAAATTAAAATAAACACACTTTATTTTCCTTTTGGTGCCCCATATAATACTGTTTGTGATCTGTCACAGGCATCTGTCTCCCGGTCAGTGACAGCTTGAGTCATAGGTTAAATTTTACATCCAGTCAGCTTCTTTTCTTATTCAATTTCTGTTAAATGAAGTCCTAACTCAGAATTATAGGTCTTTGAGAATGGCAGCAAGTGACTATCAGATATTTAGCCTAGGTACACACTCAGATATTATGGAGAAATTTTTAGTTAAAGAATATTTTCAGCTCTGTCAGATACTACATAGATGACTATAGGACACTCAAAAGTTAGAATACTTGGGCTGGCCCCGTGGCCCAGTGGTTAAGTTTGGCACGCTCCAATTCGGCAGCCTGGTTCATGGGTTCAGATCCCGTGTGCAGACCTACCCTGCTCATCAGCCATGCTGCGGCAGCGACCCACATATAAAATAGAGGAAGATTGGCACAGATGTTAGCTCAGGGCTAATCTTCCTCAAGCAAAAAAAGAGGAAGATTGGTAACGAATGTTAGCTCAGGGTGAATCTTCCTCAGCAAAAAAAAGAAAACAAAGGCGACTTGAATGTTTAAATTTAGAGGCTGGTGCCAAATGACTGCGTAATCCATTATTTGGTTGTATTTGGCTCTGTATTTCTTTATGTTTAATTTTAACATTTGGATGTGTTTTGTTTTTTTTTTTTCAATTTTTTGTTTATTGCAGTAACATTAGTTTATAACATTGTATAAATTTCAGGTG